CCTTAACCATTATGCCACCTGTTGGCCCCTGGTGTTTTATCTTTGAAATAGCACGGAATACTCCCATACAGTCTTCCTTGTGTATTTGCTTACGTCTGTCTTCTTTACCAGAATATAAACTCTACTAGAGAGCGGGCTTTCTCTGTTGTGTTCAGAATATTCCTAGTGCCTGGAATAATGTCTTGCAAATAGTCAGGCCCGATAAATGGTTAGCTAGTGAATAAATGAGTAAAACCTGGGAAAGAGACTTTCCTAAGTGACAGAGGAACAGGATGCTTTAGATGTGGCCCTATCAGGGCTAGGGAACGAAGCCAAATGCCGTTTTTAGGTTTATTCATGATCCATATACCGAACCTCTAAGTTATTAGAGATTTTCTGAGGCCTGATGTCTGTGGTGCTATTAAATGCACTTATACAATGACAGCCTCTTATCTTGGGAAGGTAAGAGACTGACCTCATTCTCAGTTGATCTGATCAACTGAAAAGCAAAATGTGTCGTTAATTTTAGGATCCATTATATGTGACATTTTTGTCTTGCTAAAGGTTAGGGGTCAATGGGAGAATTGGAGAAAGCTTGCTAACCAATGTATCTTCATTCACATTTAGAAATTAGCTGGCACTGGGCACAGTCCATGTCCTCACCCTGATTGGAGGTCTAGGTCTTAGTTTTCCGGGAAGGGCTGCTGTCTGTGCTGCGTCCTCAGTGTCTAAAATATCTTATTCATGCATAAACAGAGGGCAGGCGTGATTCAGACAGGATGAATCCCTGAACCTCACAGACAGGAGAAAAATGTAGAGTCGTGATACTTAAAACATTTCTCAGCCTTAGCTGTCAGTGCTGGTACCCACTTCAGCACATTTCTGCAATGAACTCTGCAGAGAGGAGGTCAGTGACACCATAAAAAAGAATTTTGCAATTAAAAAGGCTTAGAGGGATCACTGGCAAGATGGCCTTTCTTTCTTTCCATTTTTTTTTTTTGCAAAACAAAACCCAAAAAACCAAAAACCAAATCACTTAAAGAAGTAAACTTATGACAAGTATTTCTTTACATCAGTTCTGTCCATCAGTCAAAGTGAAGGGAACCAGGCAGAAAAGTCACCATCTGAGAAACTCTCAAAGGGCAGTTTTTAGAGCTTGTTCTCTGTTTGAGAAGCCAACCTTAACCAGAGGGTATCTCGCAGGTGGCTTCCGTGGTACTTAAAGTTTGATCATCTCCAGAAAAAGATGATAGGATGAAGAAATACGATAAAGATAAAACAGCTTATGGAGGAAAGTTCTACCTTTTTGAAGCAGCTGTAATTATTACCATTTAATTAATTAATTAATCAATTGTTCTAGGGCATGTGTGCTCACTGGAAACGAAGAGAGACAGACAGATTCGGAGAGAGGGAAAGTGAGAAATCACCCCCTGGGGGATGGCCATACTGCAATCCCTTCTCTATTCTCCTCTTGGGGTTTTGGGCATGCATACACATGCTTGGTGTGATTTTTTTAAGCCACGGGGTTTGAGATGCAAACTGTGATTGGTCATGTGGGAGTCAAGCACTTCAGCCTCTATGCCACCTGCTGGCCCAAGTCTTAGCTCTTAGTCTTACTATTTTTATTTACTAGGTGAATGGTAGTGATTTAAAAATATTATATTATGGTCAAGGTGATGGGATAATGGTAATTCAACTATTATTTCATCCAACTCACATGAGAAAAGGGTTTGTGTCCTATCCTGGGATCTCCCTGAGTACGTTGCTCTAGGCAGGCGAGGCTGGGGGTGGATCGTGGTGTGAAGAACCTGTTGGAAGGGTGTCTCTCTCTCTCTTGTTTTCTGTCTTTGTCTTTTTCTTTCTCATGGAACAAATAAATACATAAACTTTAAAAAATACATAAACTTAAAAAAATACAAGGGCCAGCAGGTGGCGTGGTGGTTAAAGGCACTGATTTTCACATGGCCAACCGTGGTTTGAGTCCCGGACCTGATGGCCTGGTTTCTCACTTTCCCTTTCTCTCTGTCTCTGTCTGGTCAAATAAAAAAATAATAATAACAAATGGAAATATTAAATAATAATTTTTTTCTTTTTTTGGGAGAGGCTTTTTTTGCTATAGGGTGCATGCGCTAGCCAGACAGACAGAGAGAGACAGAGAGACAGAAAGCAAGAAATCACCCCCTAGGGTGGATGGCCACGCTGCAATCCCCTCTCCTCCATTCTCCTCTCGGGATCTTGGGCACGCACGCACATGCACCTGGCGTGAATTTAAGCCACCGGGTCTGGGACTTGAACCGTGGTTGACTCCATGGGAGTCCAGCGACATAGCCATTACACTAACTGCTGGTCCCTAAATAATTCTTTAAAAAAAATACAACAAAGGAGTTCATTGGCATATACCACATAATATAATAGTCAATGCATGTTTTACTGTATTTGACCCATCTGGGCCTCAGGAATTAGATCTTACCAGCAGTTCAGTAAATGAGCTGAAATAGACCAAGTCAGAGACAACAAAATGAACGAGAAAGTATATAGTAAGAGTCCTGAATGTCTAGGGTCCTCTTACTGCTCTAAGGGGAAGCGGGTCTTTCAGTGTGCCATTGTGCAATGCTGAGTGACTGCACAAGTTGACTGTAGTCCAGCCTCTTTCTTGAATAGAAGTCAATTAGGACCCATAAGGAGAGAGCACTTTGGATGAGGAGCTATAAATTAGAAACTTGACTGGTCCTTTCAAGTAGTTGTTTGGAATGACTGGGAAGACACACACACACGCACACGTGCGCGCGCACACACACACACACACACTCACACATGCAGCAAAATGAACACATAGTTTGTGAGGGGACAGATCAGAAGGCTCAGAGAGTATTAGAACTGGAATCTTAGGAGAAATGGAGAAGAAAGGATTTTGGTATGATCATTCCCCTAGGGGTGCTTTCTAACTTTCCCTCTTTCTTTGGTGAGTGCATGCATATTATAGCAAAAATTTTCAAAAAAGAACAACCTTGGTCAAGTCTACAATACATCTGGTTTCTAGGGTGTGCTTGAATTTCATTTTATAATGTTAGCATACAACAAAAAGCATTACTCAGATATAGTGTGGTTCAGATAACGATACAATTTGCATAGTTTCTCTTATTATAAATGCTAGAAATTTTAAATTTTCTTCTCGCTGGTGAAATACCAGGTGTGTATGCTCTTGCTTTGATCCATAAGACACTTTATAAGGAGAAGGCCTTCAGAGACAAGGTATTTTTGGCCTTTGTCACTGCCTGGTGCTCTTTTTCCTGTTGTTCATGAACCTAACAAGTGGAAGGTCGCATGGTCCACTTTTGGAAATGATTAAAGGTGGCACTTCGCTCCAGAGTAAAGGTGTAATCTTATTAATCTGTACCAGAGTACATCTCATAGGCAGAGAACAGAGAAATTTCATCTTGGCCACTCTCACATACAGTAGATAGACAATATATTTCCTACGCACTGTTCTAGGGTCTGGGGCTGTAAAAGAAGTATCTTGGGCAGTTGCAGAAAGTTAGAAGGTGACTTCTGATAAACAGTCAGTCAGTAGCTTTATACTAAGCACGAGGATTGCCAACAGTACTTTTAATGGTAACGAGATAATCATGAGGGCAAGGCTCCGAGAGACTCCAAGACTTTATTGACAGCAATAATGTAAGGTTAAGGATTCACCGAAGAGCTCATGTGCAGAGAAAGCTATTTATGAGAAAAAACAATTAGGACCTTGTGGGCTCACAGCAAAATCCTGTAAGTGATTTTCTCTGGTTAGAGTAAGGGGCAGTTAAAAAGCACCACCTTTAGTAGAATAGGAAAACTAGGGAAAATAAATCATGATATTATTTTAGAACCTTCGTAACTGATACTGATAATTAAGTTTCCCAGAATCCCCCTTACCACGGACCTTTGACTTTCTGAGAGGGCATCAAATTTGTCATCTTTAGTCACAGTTCTGGAGAATTAATAGGATATTACCTTACCAGTTGTCAATTATAGACATTTATCATATTTTAATCATATGAATAGTGTTTCTATAGGTATTAAAAACGTACATATATATACTTTTTTTGAACCTGATTTTATTTTTTTTCTATCTAGATAACAGAGTTGACATTCCTTCAAAATGGACTCCATTTCTGCAGTGTGCTACTTTTTCATTTCTGAGGTAAACATTTAATTACCTGTTAAATTAGTTTTGTATTAGTGGATGATGAACTAATGTACAAGCTTATTAAAGGTATTTACTTTTTTAATAGAACATTCTGTGAGACACAGTACTTTAACTCAGAGGGTTGGGTCTTTGATCAGATCCTCTGTGTGGTGGAGCGCTCTGTGCATGGCGGTGGTGGGGCAGGGGATGTTGGGGAGTGATGTCATCGCTGAAGCCCTCACCCGTGGAGCTGGTTGCCCAGCTATAAATGAAGCCAAGTGCCCCAGAGCAACATGTAGGGTCAGGCAAAATAGAGGCAGAGAGGAGCAGACAATGGGGAGTGGGGTGGGGAGAAGGGGTTCAGTGTGGGGAGCCCAGGAAAAACGACTGCCAGAAGAATTTGCTCGGTCGTGTCAGATATAGCCGGAAGTCCAAGAGACCGACAGTCAGATAGATTGACTTGGTGCAAAGGTTGCAGTTGTTAATTCCAGAGTGAATTCAGTGGAGGGATGCACATGAAAGCCATACTTCAGATGTCTCATGGGAGAGTGGGTGGCTAGGTAATGGATATTTGGAGAGAAAAGAAGAGATTAAAATAAAACAGTGTTTAGAGGGAGCCCAAGGCTGAGTGTGAGAGGAAACAATGCCTCTAGCAGTCGTGCTGGTCTCTCGGGCAGGTCAAGGCAGAGCAGGGGCTGCTGTCCACATCTGATGGCAAGTCTGGGGAGGATTTTCCACAGAGGAGGAGCTAGGACAGAGCTGACGACAGAAGAAAAGACCAGTGGAGGCTAGAGTAAGATGCTGGGGAGGTAGGCAATTTTTGAGAAAAAGAGAGATCCCTCTTCTTTAAGGGTTTTAAGGGAAGATCGAAAGGTGGATAAAGAGACAAATGTGTTCTTAGCCCAAGGGAGGCAGATGAAGGAACACTGCTGGGTTTTCACGCTCCGCTGGAGAAGCCATGTTGGTGGTAAATGAACTCTTTCTCTCTTTTTTGCTCACGCACAATGGTGAACGATGGGAAGAAATTTAGTAATTCTTACTTGGGCTGATTCATCTCCCTTTTAAGGAGTTAATCTTAAAAAATGATTACTATGACTAGCTATTATGAATTTAGTTAGGGAGAGAAAATTGTTCACATTTTAATGTTTAAGTCTCTTTTATGTTAAAGAAATTTTTTTAAAAGAGATTTTGCCTTAGGGTGTGTGCACTCACTGACGCAATCTAGAGAGAGAGAGACAGAGACAGAGACAGAGACAGAGACAGTGAGAAATCCACTGCTCCCCAGGGGGCATGGTCACACCACAATCCCTTCACCTCCATTCTCCTTCTGGGATCTTGGGCACGCACGCACATGCACCTGGTGTGATTTTCAAGCCACCAGGTCTGAGACTTCAACCGCAGCTGACCTTGTGGGAGTCCAGTCTGCTGGCCCCTAAGTTCAAGAGTTTTTAGGACTCTTCTGATGCAGTGCTTTGCCAACATACTATAGATTATGGTAGAGCTAGCTATATTTCACCGAGCCATGAGATGCCATGAGATCTCTTATCTTTCTGTTTTTCTCCTCCTTTCCCTCTTCCTTTCCCCCTCTTCCTTCCCCTCTCTTCATCTCTCTCATTATTTCACTCTTTTTTTTTAAAGTGATTTTTAAATGTTGAGTATGTCCCATGACTAGGATCTATTACATTTCCTTAACAATTTTATCAGAACCACTGCCTAACCATTATAAAGTATCTCTTTAAGTGAGATAATACTCCTGAATCTGGTGGTTTGCTTTCTCACTTTCCCCCTCTCTCTCTGTCTGATCAAACTGGGAAATGACAATAATAACAACTAAAGTTAAATAAAGTAATTCTTCTAAGGAAATTTACCAGCACTCTTTGGAGAAATGTCTGTGGATTCATTGAACAACATGTCCATTTCATGAATTTCCTACCAATGTTATTTTGGCTTACCTTAGTAGAAAGGGCTAGGGGAAAAATAATGGGTGCTCCACCGTCTCCCTAAGAAAAGGCCTAGGATCCCTTTCATATCATGGGCATGATGACAAATCTGTATTCCTGCTCCATCTGCATATTTATATCTGCAATTTCAGGACAGGGAGCAACTAGTGCAATGATAGTCTTCTTGGATTTATAATCTCAGGATAAACTTTCGATCCCAGAAATGAATCATTAAGCTCGTGTTTATCCCAAGTACCAACATCTAGAGAACTCACAGTAGCAGGACGTATTTCTAGAAGTGCTGCCCTCGTAATTGTCACCGAAGGCTTGGCATAACCCTGAGCTGCCATCTGGATTATCATTAGCGAAGAGAGATTCTTTTTGATCAGTTTTAGTATTTGACTGATTTCATTTACTTTTCTAATTTGTCAAAAACCAATCGAACCTTACTCAGGTTGTTTGATTAGCAGGGATGGCAAATTTCTATGAATGCGAGAGAGTTTACTAGACAAAGGGAAAGGAAATCCTCCCATACAGATATAATTTTTCTTGCATCTGCAACATGACTGGAGAGAAAGCCTGTCCTATTTTAAGCTTGTTGTTATGGAAAGGGATGGAGTTGCATTGCCCTGCCTTTCCTACCTTTGCCTAAGCACCCGAGTTCTATCTCCCCCCAAAACACCACTCACCAAAGGGTTAATTTCTAAGACTTGATTGTACCTTGTGGAGTTGACTTGAGCAAAGCTGCTTCCCTGGCCTCATTGCCCACGGAAAGCTGGGGTGGGAGTCCAGTCGCTGCAGGAAACCCTGGCCCTATCTTTCTGAATAGTTAGGAGTCAATGTGGCTCATTTTAAATCCTATGCAGAGCCCTCTTTCTTCTGTGCGTTGTTATTTTGCTTCTTTCACCTCTGGACACTTCGGCACATTCTCTTGGAACATCGTCACAGGAGAACTCAGCTTTGACAGAAACCTCTCTGAAATGATTTTTTATCCTGTTCTGGCTTGCTCTTGAATAATTCTCCATCAACAGTGCGTCTGATTGAGTTGGCATCACAAACCCTTTTGTATGCTGTTTTTTTCCTTCAAGAAATATTAAAGTCTGAATAAAATTGGAATAGCTGCCTGGTAATGATCTCATTATATATAAATACAGAAGTGCTCACAGGGGAGATAATGACTCTGAGACTCAGGTATGCGGCGAATACCTATTATCTCCAGGATAGTCGGCCCACATCCGACACTCCTCCGCGGCTCCCCCACATCTGCCTTTCAGTTTAAGGTTCAAGTCGCTGAAGACGAGGGGCTGATTGAAGCTGGGAATAAGGTTTTCCCCACCCCCTTTATGACATGTGTTAGGAGATGAAAGGGACCTGGTCTGGGTGTTTACTCTTCATTTGGGATTTTCACATGTTCTGATTGATCGAAAAGACAAAAAGGCAGAAGGAGAGACATTTGGTGCTGGCTGAAAAGCATATCCATTCTCGATGTGAAGTTTCCTCGTTTGGTGAGGATAATTGTGATGAGGCTGTTCTGGGTATAAACGCTGCTAAAAGATTTTTAAAAATAACAGGCCTGCCACCCAGTTTGAGTTCTTACGTAGCAGAAGAACAAACACAGATGGCTGGAGTCGGGATGGGGGCCGGGGTGGGGAAGGCCCTCCTCATGCGGGAGCTTACTAGTTATTAGCCCTAGTAATCTTTTCTGTCTGCCAAGGCGTGAGCCGATGAGTTTAGCACATCACAGAGGGCCACAGATTGGGTTCGATTCCCAACACGGACTGAATGACTCTGGAAAAATGTTTACTTTCTGTAACTAGCAGCAGAAAAAGGAATTGGGTAAAGGAAAGGGTAGACAATGTTACTCTAAATGTCCCTGTTAGGTTCTAAAGGAGGTAATGTCTAAAGGGGATGGCCATCTGCCATTCTAGGACAAGAAGAGGGGTGGAAGATGAGTTCTGGGTTGTTTCTATTTGCAGGAGATCAAAAAGGCTTATTATTCTCTTCTGGTTTCCCCATGAGGGACTACCAGCATACAAAATTATACTGGAAGCAAAAAAATCTTTGGCAAAGGATGGGCTAGGAGGCCAAAGTATTTTGCCCACAGCGAAAAGACTTTCATGCAATGTACATGAGATGCGATTGAGCAATGCCGGTAAATTCCTATTGCCGGAGGGACCTTATGGCCATTA